TCACGTTCCTATTCTTACTGCTAAACACGTACATGTATGCATTGCTCAGTCAGGCCTCTTTCAGCTCTTAGTCCTAATACCTCTTCCTTACCAGTTTCAATTCCAAGCTCTTCACGGTCTTCTTCCTTGGTGTGGCAAGGTTTTGGAGAAGTCACTGACAGCCTGAAGGGGATGACCACCCTCTCAAATGTTCTAAAACAGGTCTGGTAACTACCTCCATTGTATTTTACTTCCTGACATATGAGGATTTTAAAATTGAATCACTAGTGCTGAAAAAAACTAGCAAACAGCCAAGCCAACCGAATGAGGCTTAATTTCTGTCAGTAGAATAAACAAAAAAGATCTGAAGAGACACATGGCTTAGATTTGTTTGGGAAGAAAATCTTTTCATATAAACTTAGTTGTATTAAAACCATGCTGGAAAAGTCAAAACTCTTAATTTAAGTGTCTGAATATTTTAGATTTCTCTCACAAGAACTTGGTTCTACACACTTCTAATATCAGTGGAAACCCCTCAGGAAAATGACATTCTTATAACATCTTCAGTAGTGAGGATCCTTTATTTGCTACATTAAACATTTACAGTCTAATGTCTAATCTTCCCTTTCCCCTTTGAGGTATGTCAGAATAGGAATGAGTTTTCCTGGCACTCACATCTACCTTAATGATCTGCCTTGGGGCTGTTTTGTTTGGGATTTGTGTGGGTTAATCATGGTGTTAAGATCACAAATTGAATCCTTTCATAACAATAAATGGGGAAGTTAATTGAATTTTACTTTTTCTTGATGGTGTAGTATGCAATATTTTCAGGCTTCTTCCATTTATGTTCTCAGTACTATTAAAGAGGTTGATAGCTTTAGGTATTCAACATAATGGACAGTTAATAGGAATATTTCTTCTTTGTTTATAAATTCCATATCTAATTTCACGAAGACTTAGGAAATCACTACTAATCTTGCAGTCATTAGAGCATCACATTAGCCATACTGCTGCACCTACCTCACCCTCCTCCTGCTGATACTTGATTGTGCTTAGCACTGCTAGGAACAAAAAAGCTTTCCGCAGTCCTGGTTCAGAATATGAATCAACTGCGTGCCTGTCTCATCTCCTAGGGTTCTTGCACTGCTGCTCATCACTGCAATATTAGTCTGTATCCACAGCTCCTTGGACAGAGTTCTTTTCACCATTCAGGGAGCACAAAGAAGTTGGGAGCTGGATGCAAGCAGCCAGAAGAGCAGGCGCCTCAGGAGAAAAATTTCTGGCACTTGAATGCTGTGGCTTGGCTCGTGATCTGAGACTATCTGATATTTGGCATATTCCCGCGCATGGATATATCCATGTAGTCACAGGAGCGGACAGTGTGTGGGTGTATGGGAAAGTTGATCTGCGGCGCTTGTGATCTTAACACATGCAAGGCTTTGTCTTCCCCTCCCACCTCTGACCTGACACGTGTAGTAATGACCGTGTCCCATGGCACTGTTTTGTACTGTTCACATCCTCATCCACATGAGATATTCAGAAAAGGTAGAAGTCCCTTTATTCCCCAACAAAAGCGTCCACAATGACATTGAATGCCAGGCATTGTATGCAGATTAACTTTATGCCTTTAACTGATTCATCATAACTTACCCCATTTTGGCTTTGTTGCACAGTGTTGCCCTGTATTTAGAAGGAGCAACAATCCTGCAGTTTCAATCCCATTGTCAGCTAGCAAGGGCTTGCTTTTGTTTCCAAACAGCAGCTCTTGTGAAGCGTTTTGAAAATCTTGGCTGCACGATGTATTGTGCATGCTTACCGTGGTTTATGATATAAATGAGGGCTGGAAACATTTTACTTGCTGGAAGGCAAATGGGTCTCACAATCCCCAACCCACATCCCACCCTCCCCAAAAGCAACTTTTGGCAAGCAAAATTTTAGCTTGTGTTGTAGTGTTACTTCTTTACCGAAAGGGTTGATAGGCATTGGAATGGGCTGCCCAGGGAAGTGGTTGAGTCACCATCCCTGGAGGTCTTTAAAAGACGTTTAGATGTTGAGCTTAGTGATATGGTTTAGTGAAGGACTTGTTAGTGTTAGGTCAGAGGTTGAACTAGGTGATCTTGGAGGTTTCTTCCAACCTAGATGATTCTGTTATCCATTTAAAAAGGTTTTAAAGCATGAACTACATAGGAGGGAACCATCTGAGACCCACCTCACACACTTTATCTCTTGGCTAGCCATTGACAAATAAAACCAGAGGCTGTGCTTGTTCCAGATTTCCAGGTAGCAGAAGTCACACAGCTCTTTTTAAGAGCAAGGTCACATGACCCGAAATTCTTCTATAGCCACTGAGAACAGATGTGATGTAATTTAATTGCACCTGTGAATTATCACTTGCTTTTTCAGTCATGCAGATACGTCTCAGAAGTGCCACAACTAAACTATCTATTGCATACTAGTGTTTTATTTTCAGATTTATTTATTTTTTGTTATTTCCTTTTGTGGATTTCTTTAGAATTCCAAATGTTTTTAAGGTCCTTCCGCTTTGGGCTGTCAGGAATGGCGATGGTTAAGGATTGCCGTTCTGTGTTAGCTGCATTGTTTCAGTGGGTCAAAGCTCTGGTCCCCATTAAGTGCATATACTCCTTCATGGAGGAAGGAACTGGATAGACAAGACAAAATGTGTGGTGAAAATTTATGAGTCAGTGGTGTAGCTCCCTAGTGCCTTTATAACTGTTGGAGGACTATGGCTGCTGCAATTCACTTTTTAGAGCTAACAAACACTCCTTCAGTAAGGGCTGCAGAGGGATCTCCTGAATTGAAACTAGATAGTCATTAAGTACTCTTTGCAAAGAGCTTAAGGGTCTGCTGTCAGAGCAGGTTAAGCAATAGCAAACACTAAGCAAAGAGAATCAGTCTGTAACCCAGAGTGTCAGCAGACGTAAAACAAACCCAGCCGGCGATTGACCCTTGTTCCACTTGTCTCACAAGCTCTGTTGGGTAATGAAAAAACCCTAGAGATTGCAATGAGCATTGTTGCCTGCTGGCCTTTCTTAAAAAGAGCAGGTGGATTGGGATCACTGTTAGATGTCAGTGTTACTTCAGGAGATGTGCAGGCAGCTCCTTTCTTTCCAAGTTTTTCTGCTTATTTTTTCTGCATTTCCTTGTTTCTCCCTCCCTGCCATTTGTTGTTGTTTTGGTGGTGTTTTGTTTGTTTGTTTGTTTCCTGTTTCTGTTTTTCCCAGACTCATAGCTGCTCTGCTGTTTAAATTGCCTTCCGAATATGATGCTGCCAGCACTGGTGATGTATCTCTGGAGTCCTGCACTGGCCTCTGAGGCCCATAATGACCTTGGCAGCTGTAGGTGCTGCCTGACTCTCCTCCCTGAGACCACTAAATTTCTCTGTGTGCTTCCAGCCTCAGTGGGCCACAGAGACCTTCCCCATTACCTGTTATCACTGTCTTGTTCCCTTATCAGAACGGAGAGCTTCTCAGTAGATAAGTATCTCAGGGTCCCTCTTAATCAACTTTTTTTGAATGACAGGAGGAGCTGCAGCACAGTTATTTTTTCTAGTTACTTCAGTACCTTCAGTGACCTTAAGTTGCTTCTTGTTTTTCAGTTACCAATTTTTTACGAGATGATATTCTTCTCTCCTTCTGGAATACTTCATATGATGATTTAAATCTCTCTCCTGCTGCTTCCCTATGTTTGGGGGCATTGTTTGATTAAAGACTCTCCAGGGAGGAAGAAGAATGTAATTTAGAGATTCAGTTTCAGGCGTTCAGGTGCTTGAGTATTTTCTTATTTGTTTCCTTTTATTTAATGAGATTTTAGTAGGCAGCTCTCCTGATACCTTCCTTGGTAGACTCTCACGTTTTCAGTCCCGCTCTCTCTTTTTTTTTTTTTTTTCTTTTTTCCTCCTAGTGGCTGCACAAATTGAATGGTTGTGAAAAGCTAAAATCCATGTTATTACAAATGCTGCTTTCATTTGAGGGAAATTATTTGTTGTATTTTTACTTTTTTTTTTTTTCCTGAGAAAATATGGACATATGTCAATGTTGTTTGTAGATGGAATAATACCTGTTTTGATTTAAAAGCACCCTTACATCAAAATAGTACAATGCTGGACAGTTTTGTTTTAAGTGAGGCTGTGACTTCAGGGATACCCTTTAACTTTGGTTTACTTTTACTATGGATGCTTACTATGGTTGCCACATTGCTTTGGAGATACAAAGCTGAAGCTGATAACATCTGAGTTTTTTCTTTTCCCTTAAATACTAGTATGAAATGAAGTGAAGTAATACCCATGCTGCAGTTTTTTTTTTTTTTTTTTTTTTTTTTTTTTTTTTTTTTTTTGTATAATTATAAAATAAATCTCTATCCTTACTTATGTCAACAAACAAACAAGCTCAGGCTGGAAAACTGAAGCAGCCCTATTCTTTCATATTAGTTGATGTAGTTCCAGGACAGATCTGCTGGAGAATAAAGAGGAAAACCCAAAAATACTGTTTACAACAAAATCCTAGTAGAATTTAAAAATAAATTACAAAATATATTTATTTTTTAACCATCTGAGTATTTTTTTCTTATTTTTCAATACTTTGAATCATTTCTGTAGAATTTTAAGAGTTTTGAAAATGAAATTTCACTCATATTTGAATGCACAAGACCTCCTCCCTGAACTGTTGTTCTGCAGGGTGTTTACATTGCATTAACTAATTGATGTTCACATTAGACAATGAAGTACAGGATTTAACTGAATCTGCTTTAGCTTCTTCAGTATGAAAGGCAGTTGAAAGCCAGAATCTTTAATAATTACAAATGGGTAAGACTAATGATATTTTTCATCATAATAATGAATATTTTGTTCCTGTTTTTAAGTGACTGTTAAGATATAGATAACAGAGAGCTTTAGTAAGGATACTAAAAAGCAACAACAACAACAACAAAATATTGCAAAACTTCTTTTAAAGTGCAACAGACCTCATTTAAGGACATTTTTTTCTTTGTTTTTGCTTTCCCAGCCATCCCCTTAGGAATTATAGTTGTACGAGGAGATTGTGACTTGGAGACCTGTCGGATGTACATTGACCGTCTTCAGGAGGTGAGTTGTTTGTGAATTTAAGTGTCATTTATTAATCTGTGCTCTGCTTCTTCTAGTCCCGAGCGCAGAGGTCTAATAGTTGCAACAACCTTGTATTGAGAGTACTGCAGTTTGCCTACTGCTGAAAACAAAACTTAGAGTTTTGATATGCTAACAAAAGATGAACATTTCCTAAACAGCAAATAATAGATCACACTGAAACCATTTAAATGATAACAGAATTGACACGGATGATTGTGTCTACTTTTGCTTGAACATGAACAAAATACTAGGATTCTTCATGTACATTGCTGAAATTATACAAATCTCTAAGCAAAATAGAGATTAGAAAGTGTGTTATGTAAGGATAAATATAGTATTTGAATGGATCTAATTATGCAAATATCACTCTCTAACACTGCTATGGAGTAAACAGAGACACCAACAGTGGATATCAATTTGAAATTTCCAAATATACAGAAATGTATACTGATAAACTAAAAATAATGTTGCTTTTATCATCTTGAATGTTGTGCCATAAGAGAGTTCATTCTACAGTACAGTATGGAAAATGGAGAATCCAAATACCCCATTACCTGAATAATTTTAAATGTGTATGCATTAGTGATAAAGCTGATGTATTTTCATAAACATAGTACCTCTCACTGCTTCTTAATCTTTTACTGATATCTTTCAAAACCATTTTGAAGTGTGAGGACTTTACACGGGTTTCTAAATAGCTGTCCCAATTGACATGGGAGCTATGGATCTCATTCTTCCCACTAAACTATTTGAGAGGCACTGAATTGCTGTGATTATGAAACTCTGCCACCTGCATCCAGAATATGGACCTTTGTATAGACTACAGGCTTTCACCTTTTTGCATTTCAGACCAGATTTATGACTATTATTGGGCATAAAAGCTTACTGTAAAGCAATGTATACTTAAGGTATCTGATGATGGAAAAATACAATAAAATAATTGGGATGATGTTCACAGCAGATTAGAAATCACGTGATCTCAGACTGGGTTCAAAACTGCCTAATATGGACAGTATTTGATGGAGAGTGGTTCTTGCAGCGATGGAGGAAGCATAGCTAGAAAATGAATTACCCACAGTGGTTGTGGATGAATTGTGTTTTTCCAGCCTTTTGCAAGGGTCTTATTTATTTATTTATTTATTTGGCTTGATTTGGCTCAGTCCCATATGCTGGGAATGGAGGTGCCAAGGCCTTCTGCACTCTGCCAACTTGCATGCTAAATGGGGAGCTATAGCCTGTAGGCCAGGATTTTTGGTAGGCTACATCATAAGCTAAAATTGTATGACAAAATATCTGTCAAAATAAATTAGATTCCTGAAGCCTGCTAAGCAGCACAGTCATTCTGATATGACCTCTCTGGCATGAGGTTGTCTTAAAACAGGGAGAATTTCCAGTGGTTTTCTTTAGTATATTAATTGCTCAGAAATATTTGCAAAAATGATTTAGGGCTTATAGCTTTTTTATTTCATTTTGCTGCTGATATTTCTAAATTTAGATAGTTTTTATGGAACAAATACATCTATGATATGGTAAAGATCCATTAACATAACCTTTGTATAAGTTTTTGTAGACGTCTTTTTTTTTTTCTTTTTTTCTTTTTTGACCAAATGCATGCAAATCTAAGCTTTAAGTGAGCTTTCCATAGCTATTCTTTGGTAGTTGTTTAATGCCCTTAAAAACAATGAAAAATACTTGTAAAATTATTTTATGGTGTTTGCCCAACCACTTCATATAGCAGAACTGTAAATAACTTCTGATAATTTATTTTTTTCATCATTGGCATGTCTTTTATCCTCCTACTAGGACCTACAGTCGGTATCTTCTACTACACAGAGAGTTCACTACCAGGTAAGATGAACTTTCTTTTTATTAAATGAGAAAAAAAAAAAGAAAAAAAAAAGGAAAAAGAAAAAAGACATAAACAATGTAAACTGCACTCTGCATTTGAACCCAGATTTTCTTTTTATGAGAAAACGTGTTAGAGGAATTTTTGATTATCACTTGCCCCCAAATGATGGAAGTTCATTCTGGTTTCCCTAGGACAATCCTTTTCCTTGCAACCTTATGGAATCTTTCAAATTAGCACAACATGATGTGCCTTGCCTCTTGAAGTGATTGGGAAAATGTTTGCTTTAGGACAAATGACAGAAGTAAAATCATTTCTCTGAGAAATGTAACAACATGTTATATTGCATAGATGTAGTAATAATGTCTACCACTGTGAAAAGAGGTGTACTAGAAGGCCTAACCTCTAATAATTCTGTGCACCACAGTCATCTACCCCTCATTTAACATAATCTGCAGAGTAATTTTTTGATCCATTGTGAACATGAATCTGTCTGTTGTATGTGATGACATTCTATTTCTGGGTGGCTAGTTTTCAAAATTGTGTTCTTTGTGTGCTTTAGAGCTATATTCTACAGTTTATAAAGTACAGAACTTGGCTTTATAGTTGGAAGCATTGTTCAAGAGCACATATTACTCTCAGTAAAATATTGCACTGCACAGTGCTTTATTTGGGAGTAAACTGATTTAGACTAACTCTACTGACTCCTCAGCTAACTTGACATTAGTGCAGAGACTTGACACAAACAATGGTCAGTTGACACGGTGCCTGGGACCGCAAGTCTGAAGCTTGCATGGTGTTGATAGCCTTTTCCTAGGTTTAACAATGAAAGTCTTGTTGGGATCAGCAGGAATGTGTTCACTGAGAAAACATGCAGAGATCCAGCGGATAAGAATGCATAGTGGTGAAACTGTAGATGATTTCTCAGGGCTTAATGATTACCTGGGTGATACAGAATTCCAGTTTGGCAGGACTGCCAGTAAATTTGCTGAACCTAGGTAGACACTATGAGAAAATGCAGATTTGGCATGGTTTTCTAAAGTTGTCTTTTTCATACCACTTCATGGTTTGTTTCTGCATTTCAGCATCCAAATTTAACCTCATATTTTTGACATTTGTGTCAATCATTGCCCTGGAACTGAGTTTTAGCACAACATTAGTGTCTAGTGAATTGCCTAATAAACCAGCATGTATTATTCTGTTCCACTCCCTATAAATTAACCTGAGTGGCTGCTGACTGTTCCATGTGTAGGAAACTGCCTGAGGTAAAATGAAGAACTACATCTGTGCATATGGTGAGGGCCAAAACAGAGAATGAAATGTCAGAAATCAGCCCCATAGTTGGCTCTAACCTCTGCAGTTACAGCAGTATATAAATTAATTGCCCAGCCATTTCCTCTGGTGCTCATCAGTGTGAGATCCCTAACTTTCTATCAATTTTTTATGATGCTGCATTTTGAATGCACCCCCTCTGTGTTTTGTCTTCAGTACTTGTTTATCCTGAATTCTTCAAATACTGCTTTATTCTCAGCAGATCATTTCTACAAACTGTCTTGCTAGGTTAATTTGAAGTTTGTTCCACATTTGCTGGCATCTCTCTATAAATTACAGAAGGGGAGAAAAACAGGGGATAAAGGGTATGAAAAAGTTCTTGAGTTGATGAAACTTCTTATCTCACTAATAAGGTGTCATGGGTTCTTTTAGGTCTTATAAACATGGTTTTCTTGTGTGATTCCTCCGCAGCTTAACACATGTGGAGTCAGCAAAAACAATATCAGCAAGCCTGAGTGCAAATGAGAAAAATGATACTAGAGTTGTTCTTCATTCTGCTTTCTTTCTCTAACAAGCTAAATGTATATGAAATATTATTCTCATGGGCCTGAGACTTCCCAAGCTAGTTCTTCTTTTGAGCTGTAAGAGATTCTTCAAAAGAGCCCATGCAGTTTGTGACTTACATTTACATTTACCAGCATTATCACTATCTTCATTTTCCCATTGTACCAGCTCTAAAAACTTTTACTCATGTCTCCTGTTCATATCATCTACCATTTTCATATGCATAATTATCTTTGGGTGCTTTCTTCCTTCTTTGCTTTGTATCTCAGCCCAAACCTTTACTCAAATAGTGGGGTAAATACTAAGACACATACAGCTTTATGCATTTAGATATACTGAAGTTAGCAAATGTAGTGGATTTCAGAAAGCCCTTGATTCTCAAACATACACCTCAGCTGTGATAGAAGTAGACCTAAATCCCACAACTCAATAAACCTATACTAGAGAAAGAAATAAGTGTATTTTAAACCTGATGTTTCAACCACTGAGATATGTTTTTTGGTCCATATCTGCAGAAATAGTTCACGTTGTTGAGTTTTATGCTGTCCTCTTCATCTCTCCTGTAATGCAGAGAAGTTGGAGACAAAACCAGTACATTAGGGCAGTGTTTAAGGGATCAAGTAGAATCTGTGAGTCTAAATATGGGATAGAACTGAGGTTTGATTTTTGTCAGAGTGGCTATAGATGCAGATTCATGATATAGATTCATGAATCTCTTCTGATTTGTGAATCAGAAGAGAGGTTTTTGTTTGTTTGTTTGTTTTTGAGCAAAATCTGTAAGAAGCTGTAACATTGCAGACAAGATCTGTTGCTGGGACAATAGCCAAGTTCCAAATTCTAGGGCAATGAGAAGAAGCCACATGAGCTGTCTGGAGCTGTCTTTGCTTTTCTGACTTGGATAACCAGAAAGGAAAGGCAATAATAGGAAGTTTCAGTCAATCCCAGTGGCAGAAGCTAATAATATGAATCATACAAAACCTGTAATGATACCAGATAAAATTGTTAACATTTTGCAGTGGCATCATGCCAGGCACTGAGATCAGTTCATCTGGCTGAGAAATGAGTATCTATCAAAATTTAAAGTGCTAATTGTCATCACACCTGCCTGAAAACAACACTTAGTGCATGCAGACACTCTGCCGACTGGGAATATAGGGATACCAAAGACTTGCGTGTATCCATACAACGTCAACACAACCTCTTTTTTTTTTTTTTTTTTCTCAGCTGAAAATGTGTGAGATACCTTTATGTAAATCAAAGAGTGAGGTCTGTCTCTTGACATATGAAGGCACCATTTGTTCTGTAATCAGTTTGGAAATCTTTTTATCCACTCAAATGGAAATGACAACTTCCTTCAGTATTCTCTGAGATTTTCCTCAGGTTGAAGAAAGCAATGGGCTTCTTCCTCTCAGTCTTACTGAGTCATGAGTGGGCAGCCTGGGGAAGTGAACCAATGAAACAGCCATTTTTCTGTGGACATATTCTTTATTTTTTTCTTAACTTTTTCTGACGCATGGCAATTTGGATTAGAAATGTATTAGGAATATGTCAGATTTGCAAAATATAAGATAAGTCAACAAGAAATAGCTAATACTTCTAGGGTTTCTTGATGATATAGACAGCAGGCAGTATAACCAAAGTGAAATATATAAAATAATTCAAACCTTTGAGAATCTGTATGAATGTTCCAGGTGTGTTGGATGTGCATGATGTAGCATAAACTTTCATTTTCTGTTGTGGTGTTTCTGCACTTTCCCTCTTGTGTACAAAGCAGTCTCACTTTCCTCCTTTAAACCATGGACATGATGCCAGCTGCCTGAGGGATTGGTGTTTTTTTTGTCCCTTGGAGTCTATCACCTAGGCTAGATGCCTTTCTAAAAGTCTGCTGTAGTTCAGGCTGGAGTGGTAACTTCGAAGCATGAGCTGTAGGGTGGATTTCTGCGTTATGCTAGTGGTTAAATGTTCATAGCCCTGTTAGAAGGCTGGCTGAAAACCCATGATTGTTTGAAATCTGTTTTTTGAACTTCCTCCTTCAGCCAGCCTTTGCTTTCTGATGCTAGACCTTTAAATGACTACTCACTAGATATAGCTGTACAATCTCCAAAACAGAAGTCATTTGTCCTGCATCCTGCAGTCAGGAAAGGTGGTGACCTTGTGCACGGTATTCTGGCAAGTCCTAGTGAGATTGTATCCTAGTCTGTGGTCACCTCTCTGTGTTATGAATATACATGGATTATTTGCATCCTGTGATTTCTGTGCAAAGCACAGTGCTTTTCTTAAAGGTACTTTTCTTAAAGGCACTTTTTCTCCCCATTGCTTCCACTTTTCATTTTTTTGCCTTGCACACTGGTATATCTGCCCATAGTCTGTTGTCTTCAGGAGGAATAAACTTTAATCTTGAGCCAGTATGTGCCTGAATTTACATCATTTGAAGGTGTGCTGATTTTATTGCCTAAGATATAAACAAGGAAAGAATCTCCCTCTATGCAAATTGTGTGTGGGTGTCCACAATCCATGCCGTTGTGTTTTGTCTTGTGCAAATCTGTGTTTTGATGTTGTGTTCCAGTGGCTTTAGGAAGTTAGCTGGCCATCCACCGGCAGCATGGCACAGAGCCATGGCCACCTTCGTTCTGAGATCCCTTTTGTCTACAGCTCAGTGAGAGCTGAGAAAGCAAAGGGCAGGCGGTCTGAAGTCCTTTGTTCCTCCCCAGACATTTGGTTTGGTTCTTGAAGTAATGCTCCTTGGCCCCCAAGGAGCAGGTCTTTTTAGCCAGAATGGGAATATACTGATGCAGGATGTCTGCTGTCTTGGCTGATGGTGGTCCCCATGCCTGCACTGTCTGTATTTTGGATGCAGAGAATAACATTTTTTTTTTTTCCACCCTGATGTGCATTTGGGACATACTAGGAACAAGCAAAGTGGGCAATTGCTTTGAGTGGCAGATTGACAGAGGTGGGAAAGGGCATAAAAACACTGCTCTGGAATAAACGAAAATGACAGGCACACATCAAACAAGCATAGTAATTAGAGTTCATAGCTGTTGTTTGTTACTGATGTGTATCTTTGACCTTCTCTTTCACCTCCCTCTCTTTTCCTGTCCCTACAAGTAAAGGGAGCTGTAGACAACTGAGAAAGCTAGTTTTGATGCAACACTTTTTGGTATTGCTGAGCTGAAGGGAAGATAGCTGAGGATGTAGTTGAAGTTTACTTACAAAGAGTAAATTGTTTGCTCTCTTGTTATAATACATTAAATTGGTTATAATACATTAAATATAATTCTAACAATTATAACAATTATTATAATACATTATATTATCTACATTAATTATAACAATTGTTATAATACATTAAAACCTTGATGTCAGTGTGGAACATATCCAGTGAATTTGAGTTATGCAGGTATTGCAAATCGTGTGATATCAGCAGAGAAAAATAAAAAAGCGGATACTAGGAAATAGTCTTTTTAAGAGATTTGTTTTTTATTTTATGTCATTTCCCTGCCCTATCCAGGACCAAGAAAGCTCTTTCCCAAGAGTCCTTTCTGTTCAGAGGCTCTCTCCTAGATGGTGCTTCCTAGATGGTAAGTGCATCTCCCTTCTGTTGTGCCTAGCATAGTGCTTGCTTCTGATGCAGATGTGGAGGATAACACATCTAAGGGTACCACCATGAAGGGGTAGCTTTCTTTCTTGCTATGCTGAGCAGTTGAAAAGGGAGCTGTGTGCCTCCCTTTCTCCTCTGAAAAATGAAACAGGGCCTTCATTTAGCAATCAAAGTGTCTTCTGTAGCATTGTTGCCCCAAGGAGTCATGTTCTTCCACGGGTGGTTTGGGATCTGTGTTATTAGCATCTATGCTGTGATGCAGCCCTTATCACGTGGCAGTATCTGGACTCATAGTGCAGATGGTTGTGGCAGCACACTGCTGTCAGCAAGACAATGTTCTTCATTCCCTTTTCTGTGTAAGTACTGCAGCGTTTAGGTGATGGAAAAGTGTTGCCCGCCCCTGTTAAGAGTGCGCTTCATGTAACTCTTGTATTTGACCCAAACTTTGCCAAAACAGACAGCTTAACTGGGCTTTACATCAGGTTCCAGAGCACTAGAATTAGCAGCCAAAATGGATGGCATCTGCTTTTGCAGAAGCTTCAGCATGTGGTGACTGATTTTTTATTGTTCAAAACAAAACCAGTTTCTCCTTGATGGTTTCTAATCACTTTTCCTTGTCTCTCATGAGGGAAATTGATAAAACATGCATTTAGGATCTGTTTGGTTTTCAGATAAAGCTGGTTGGGTAGATGCATTCAGTTTTTGTCTTAACGTATTTGATATTCCCTTGAAATGCCAAAAATGACAATGCTATATTACTGCACTGCTGTGTCAAAAGCCCAGAATGAACAAATCTGTGATTTCACTGGCCAAACTAAATGCAAAGCAGAAACAACAACAACAAAATGCATCTGATGAAGCATATTGTAGGAGATAAAATACTTCTGGTTTTATCAAAATAGATTATTTGGCAGTGCCAAAATTCATATTAGGACTTTATTTAGTGATTCTCCCTAATCACTGTGTGTGATTTTCATGTGCTGTTCATGAGCAGAATAAATTTTCCTGAGTGTATTGGTAATTCAGGTTGAATATTTGAGCATTTGATTTACAAGGAGACCCCAAGCATATTACAATTTTTTTTAGATTCAAAATTTGAATTAATACTATTAGACCTATAAATTCTATGATGTGCTTGCTCTACTGTCATTGGAAGAATGCATCTCTTTCTGTCACATATTTTAATGTAATTAAGTCTTCTTATATGCCTGAAACCCAATTTTCTTGCATTTTTAACTATTTATTTCAAGTCAATACTTTCAGTGAATATTTGTTTTGTTAAGCCCAACATTTAAATTCATCATTTAATGGGGTAGAAATATGGAAATGATGAATGAATCAAATTATATTCTTATGAAACCCATGTCACTTCACTGACACGGAGATTGTCTTTACATGGTGCTGATGTCAGTTCAGCCCATCTTGTTCAAGCAGTCCTGCTCAGACCACTTGCTTCACTGCTGCTTTCTTGTTTGTCTTCCTTGCAGCAACTTCTGCTGATCGTTTTTACCGCATTGACAGATCTCAGGTAAATCTCTATTTGGTTACCGTTTCTATAAATCTTTTTTTTAAAGCTATGCCACATGCAGCTTAAAATGAATTATCTGCCATTGCTTTCATGTATTCTAGGATGTTGCTGATGCCTTGTGAAAATCAGAGAAAAAATTCTGGGCCTTTTTTTTAGTTGATATAATTCGCATCATTTCACTGAGCTCACTGAAGATTTATATCTGCTGATGGTGTGCTTTTCTGCCAACCTGATATACAAATCAGGATTTTCTATATTTGTCATTCTTATCATGTCTTACTAAGGGTATCTGTGTGACACTAGCTTATTTGATTTTATCTTTTCACTAATGATGTTTTTGGTCACCAGAAGACCTGATCCTCTGCGTGACATGAAATAGCTGTGGAAATTAATGTGATGTTACAAGTTGAGAATGATGAGCAGAGCTGTATCAAATATTCCCAAGGAAACCCAAAACAGCATGTAGTTTCATTAGATTCAAACCTGTGGTGTAGATCTGCCAATCTGAATTTATTTTCTGAAAGACACTGAAAATTTTACAGAGCTTTTGGTGTTCCTGGTTTGTAGCCAGAACAGATCAATTAGTGGCTCAGCATTACGTGTAAACTGTTGCTTCACCTATTGGTCATTTGCACCTGGTCCTCCTAAGAACTATGTAAGCAGTTTTTGAACTACATGGACATATGCAGCTGGTGTTTTAGTTCAAGGAGAAGAAGCTGTGACTTTAGCTCAGAGGTCCCAGGTTCAGTGTCTGCATATAGCCACCAAGGGCCTTTGCACACAGCCATATACATGCTTTAATGAAGTTGTGCTTTAGCATTTGTAAAGCAAAGATGAAGAAGATGCTGCTATAGGTTAAACTGGACGGTGTCATTCTGTTTGGTTTATTCTGCATTTCTTTAATTCTGACTCTGTACAAATTGTCATCCTCCCCCCTACTTCATCGCCCTATGTTTCTGTGGGCAAAAGACCAATACTATGTGATGGTCCCTGTGCACAAAATGTCGGAAGTTTCCTGTCCATCCACCTACTTAGACAGGCCTACTCACACTCAGTGTTTTGGAAAGACAATGGGACTTCTGTGTCAATAACAGAAAAGAGGGATTGAGAAAGAGAGCTTTGGTAATGGAGATGCAAAACCAGAATATACAAGCAATTGAGGGTTGAGAAAATACCTGCAAACTATGGAAAATCCTGTCAGATGTCAGCTGAGGGCAGATCTTAGATGATGGTCCTCATCTGGAAATGCAAACCTCAGCTTTTTGGGTAGACGTCCAGTTTTCAGCTGAATGGAGTTGACAGGGCCTGAGTCACTGAGCAACAGCCTTTTAAGTGTTGCTGTGAATGTGAAGCTTGTTGGTTGGGAATCTTGGTTTGTTTAAAATCTAAGAATTGCTTATTTACAACCACAGTAGCATTGCTATTATTGTGTGTGTATATGTATGCACTTAAATAAATACACACACAGAGTCACATGAATGCTCTTCAAACTGATCTACTGCCAGGTTTCCTGTAGCCATTTGGGCTTTCTGTTTGACCAGTGATGCCGCAGGTTCGTTATCTGTTCCTTATATCACTCCGACAGGAACATTTGCACTTTGTGACGGAAATTTCGCAGGACGAGATTTTTATTCTGGACCCAGAGCTGGTAATGTCACAGCAGGGGGGGACGCCACCCGGAATGCCTGATCTGGTAGTGGAGCAGGCCTCTGGGTGAGTGGTGCTAGAATCTGGCCTTCAGCAGCCACATTAGAGTTGGGCATTCCTTTTCTGGTCCCCTTTTCAGAAGGGGGTGGGGGTGTTACAGTAAAGGGTGGGGACTTGGGGACAGGATCAGGTGCAGCAATGGTAATGTCAGAAGGACAGCAGAGTAAAATCTACTGTATTACACATCCTGAAGCAAACAGCAGGACTAAAGAGGTATCTTCAGCACCTTTCAATGTCCTCACACCCTCACAGAACATCTGCCCCTGGCATAAATCTGTATCTAACAAGTTACAAAACTGTTCTCTGCATGGTCAAGGCTTTGATACCAGTATATAAGTCCATGAAGTCCTTTGAGCCTCAGAATGGTGGTGAAATCTCGTCCTCTGGGCAGACCAGAAATGTTCCTGATCTTCTGTAGGAAGAGTCTTGTACTTACAGTGAATTTAGCTAAGTTAGCTTGCTGTGGGCTGAAAAATGGTGGGGACAAACAGACATAAAAGAGCTTCAAAGTGGTGCATGCAAAGTAATTTCTGGAGTTGAATGTCTTTCTCTTCATTTTTCCCTCCCTAGAATATCAGATCGATGGAACCCTGCAGTGCGAAAGAGGATGCTGAGCGACAGTGGCCTCGGCAAGATTTCCCCACACTACGAGGTACCTGACAAACAAAAGGACGCCAGCCAGACCCATATGCTGCAGTAAGAGCCCTCTGCATTTCTCTGCTTGATGACACACTGTCACCATCACCACAGACTAGTGGCTTTTTTAAGCTTATTGAGTTGTGCTGACATGCCAAAATAACAGAAGTTGTTCTAATTCTTCTCTTTTTTTAATCACTTCTATTTCATCCTCTTTCTCCATTATTATATGTTCTTGCCTTTGGTATTTTTATTTGTTTAATTATTATTATTATTTTTATTTCCCCCCCTCCATGTCACTCCACTCTCTTAAAAATGTATATCCATATTTCCAAAAGTAAATACATTATTTTAGGATGTCTGATGTTCCAGTAGGAACCTTCACAACAATTGGTAATGAAAAAGACCAAAGCACTCACCCTTAAGGTAATTCTGATGCAACGTGCAAAAGCAGAAACTTCTACAATTACTGCTTACTTTCAAAGCTGTAGGCAATATTTTTCATATTGTCTTTAGCCAGTGATATCATTGCAGGTATAGGATGACTGGAGTTGGCCTCGATGATCCTTATGGGTCCCTTCCAACTCAGACATTGTGATTCTATGATTAAACAGTGGTTTTGCTGCTGATAAACATAGAATATACATAGTTAGAAGGGGCCCACAAGGATCATTGAGTCCAACTCCTGGCTCCACACAGGACCACCCAAAAATCAAGCCTGAGAGTCTCTCCAAACACTCCTTGAACTTTGTCAGGCTCAGTGCCATGACCATTGCCCTGAGGAGCCTGTCCCAGTGCCCAACCACCCTCTGGGTGCAGACCCTTTCCCTAACCCCCAGCCTGACCCTCCCCTGTCCCAGCTCCATCCCGTTCCCTCGGGTCCTGTCTCTGTCCCCAGAGAGCAGAGCTCAGCGCCTGCCCCTCCACTCCCCTCGTGAGGGAGCTGCAGGTTGCCATGAGGCCTTCCCTCAGCCTGCTCTGCTCAGGGCTGAACAAACCAAGGGGCCTCAGCCACGCCTCATAGACCCTTCACCATCTCTGTAACCCTCTTTTGGATGCTAATAGTTTTATCTCCTTCTTACATTGAGGCACCCAAAACTGCACACAGCAGTTGAGATGAGGCTGCACCAGGGCAGAGCACAGCAGGCCAGTCACTTCCCTCAGCTGGCTAGCAATGCCATGCCTGAAGCACCCCAGTGTATGGTTGGCCCTTTTGGCTGCCATGACCATGATGAAAGCTCTTGAGCAAGATGTTTGTAAAATAGCTTTTAAAGTAATGATATCTTAGGTCATTAAATGTTTAAACAAAATGTGCAGCTTTGTCCTTTTAATAAGGTATATAAAATTGTGTCTTCACCAAAGATTCAGTAAAATGAGCATCAGTTTCTACACTAGTATGTTTTAAAAATATTTCTTAAGGAATAATAAATTATAAAAACTCCAGTTGGAATAAAAGCATTGTCCTAGGAGAGGAAAAGCTTTAAAGTTCAAAAAATAGGCTATGGACTCTGTGATCCTGTTTGCTTCGTTTCTAATTCTTCTAGCCCATTTTAGAAGTGGTTCTCAGCTTTTTGGTCCTTCAACTTTAGATTTTTGAAACCAGGTGTTCTGTCTCAGATGTGCTCAAACTGAGGCTGCATGGTGCCTGCTGAGTACTGCTTCAGGGCAGACACAGTGTGGGTGGGAGTTTGTAGCTGCACGGCTACAAACCAGAAACTTCGCAGCAAAATGGATGCTGCTGAAAATAGGATTTTTTGTGGGAAGGAATGGTAATCTGCAGTTTCACTGACAGAAAATGCTCACCAGGCTTTCCGCCATTACTCTGGGGAAATTCTGGATCAGTTCTTGTTTTTGTACTAGGGATAGCGAACTCAGGTGCACTTTTCATTAGACAGGAATGGTCAGCCTGAAATTTGGGTCTTATCAAGCTGGGGGAAAAATGATGCTTAAACACTTCTAGGCAGTGTGGAGAGATGGTGACAACACGTGGACTTGCTTCTAACTGATGAAAGGAATGATTTTATTTACGCCAGTATGACTGGAAATGTTTGTTTAGCTGGAACAATTATGTTTATCTGATAGATTTATTAATTATCAGCACAGTAGTATTGCCCAGAGCAAAGCGTACCTGTTACTGTTTACTGTAAGGCACCGTTTCCTTTAAAGCTTTTCTAAACTGTAACTGTTTTGGCTGATTTTTTTAATTATTATTATTATTATTTTTTTTTATGGTAAGACTCAGGCTTTGAATCTTTCTCTTTTCCTTCTAGTTTAAAGTTTAACAAAATTCAGTAGTTTCTGAATACAAGATTTGGGGAAAATGTATTGCTTTAAATTACTTTCTGTAAATAAAATAAATCCAGAAATTGTTTCCTGAGAAGTTTTAGTGCTGTTAGTGCACTGAAGTTTTTGAGGCTTTACATTTAAAAGTATCCCCATTATACTGAGGAAATGCCTTATGCTGTCTTGTGCTCCTGAGTTTGCCCTGAGGCTGTTGATACCTGTTGGAGACCTCAGATTCAGGAGCTGTGTTTTCAAAAATTTGTGTCTGTACATGCTCAGGGAGGTTTTGAGTGGGGTCTCTCTGTGCTTACTCCTGGCTGCAGGAGGCTCACAGAAGCTGAGGAGGGGCACTGTGCTGCTGATCTCCAGCAGGAAGGAAAAAAAACAGGAGGAGCAATCTTGGTCAAATGGGGATAGGCTGGGAAAGACGTATGGAGGAGCAGGGAAAAGAAGACAAAAAAAAAAAAAAAAAAACACAAAAGAAGGAGTAGAAAAAAATAAGAGTGTATGCACTAACTTGGGGAGCAGAGTTAGGAGATGGAAAGTAGCCATGGAGGAGCCCAGGGGACAGTCAGGTATCTGGGGAGGAGGAAGAGGGAACAGGAGGAAAAGGAAGTGAAGGAGAAAATGTCAGCCTGCAGGGACTTTGGGCTGCAACAGATGAGAAGGGACAGGCTGCTGTGCAAGCTTAGGGGGCTGTTGGAGAGAAGCAGAGAAAGCAAAGAACAAGAAATCACAACGGGAAATAAAAATAAAAAGAAAAAAAAAAAAAAAGAAGAAGAAAAAAAGGAGGAGAACATGGGGTGAGGATAGATAAGAGAAGGAGACAGGCTAGGGACATGGTGGCCATTTCTCTCCAGAATCTAGAGTTCTGAGCTGATGCAGATTATTCATTATTCAGGTGGGCACGCTCTGAAGTATGTTTAGACATTGCCTCATTTGCTGCAAAGCTGAAAGATGTATTGTAAATGAAGCAGAGGATTGCAGTGGGGAAAGCAAGATATTACACTTAAGGCAGCTGAAAGCTACTCTGGAGGACTGGTTTCTCTCCTCAGTTTCCTCCACAGAATTTCTGACTGATGCAGATTAAAAACAAACTTCACAAATGGCCAGTAACAACAGGCTCCTCATTTTATGCATGTCTGCTATGAAGTAGGCTGGGAGGCCATTGCAAGGAGACTTTGAAACAGAGTGAAGGACTGGAAACTGAGTAATATGCTTCCTGTGTGCCTTAGGTTGTGTTACTAAAATTAATGGGAAGTTTGTGCCTTCTTTCTTCCGACTCTCATTTTCCCACCTGCGGAATACAGATAATGTTGCAACCTCACCTTAGAGGAACACAGCGAGGGTAAATTTCACAGTCACAAGAAACTTGGATATTATGGGGAGACTCTGTCAGAGATGCTTAGGAGAAAATTAATCATTTTACATTCTGTGCACAGTTTTGGTAGTGTGGGATAAATGAACCTTGAGGCTGTGCGCTGCTTATACAGAATACAAAAGGATATTAAGCAGGTCTTTTTAAACATCAAAGCAAGAGTCCAATAGAAGAAAGTAGCATGTGGCAATGTAATTAAAGGTTGTTGTAATGTATGAGTGCAACAGGGCTGGAGCATGATGTTCAGATAACACGAGCTCTGGTATTTCCAAGCTTCTGAGTATTTGACTTTCCAACCAAGCATTTGACTTTCCAACCAAACTTAGGTTGGAAAGTCAAGCATTTATAACCTGGCATTTTAAAGCAAAAGCTTAGAAATTTCTTTTATATTTTTGGCAGCTGAAAGCAGCTCAGAGGTTTGTCCTTTCAGATTTTTTTATTTTACTTTATTTTTTTTCAAATACAATTTGCAGAGAGGATCTTAATGAGTTAGAGTACAGTTCCCTAAAAAGGAATATGGCAGAGCATTAAGGAGACACCTCCTCCCACCTGTGGAGTTCTCATGGACCCTGTGAAGGTCATCTTTGTCCAGTGTTTTATGTTTGGCCTGAAATATTGCACATCACCTCCAGCTCAAAGTGTGAGACCCTATATCCTGTCACTAGGGCAAGTGACATGGGACTTGCAGTGAGAGAACGCGTCAGTCAGTTGACCAGCTGGGGCTGTTTTCTCAGTAGTCATTTGTCTTTGAAACATGAATCGGTAGTGACACTCCTCAGATGTTAAAAGCAGATTAGACCACAGCTGATCATAGTATGACTGCAGGCTGCTTGGAGTGTCTCTGGCACTATTATATATATATTTAATCTCTCTAAGATGTAATAATGCTTTCTGAGAAGTGAGGAATGAAGATAAAAAGACAAAATCTACTAATACAGAGATGCCTTAAATGACTTAATTCAATGAAAGTAGAGGTGAGAATGTTATCTAAAAATAATGGTGAGATTTGGAATTTTTCCTGATCACAAACTTTTGGGGTAAAAAATAATTCATCTGTAATGTTTCTGAGGCAGTGGTTTTCTAAGAGAAAATTATTTACACTTTTAATCAGGTGAGCCTCATGCTAATTAATTTTCAGATGGCATTTGGTTAATGATATTTTACATTTTGTTCCTCCTTCCCTTACCCTTTCTGAAGGTTCTTTGACGTGTGACCAATTTGTGGAGTGTAAAGGACATGAAAATTAGCATCTTGATGCAGTAATCTGGAGCTGGGGAGGATCATATCTTAATAGGAACATCAAATCAGTGTGAAAGGTGCATGCGACACCAATGGGAAGACAGTTACTTGGATTACTGGTGCTTGATCTTGAAAAAAGACAAGTATTCTGGGCTGGCTT